ACTACTTAATGACACGTTTTAGTAGTCCAACTTAAACTTTAGAACCATGGCACAGTGCGTGGAACATCCTTTGTTCTCCTATACCAAAACTTCTGAATTCTTTGAATCAGTAGCATGCGGTAGAATATGATTTCCCAAAATATGGGATCAATAAGTCTTGTGCCAAACGGAAATAACTTTGAACTTGGAAACATTGAATTCAATGTCATTTGAGATTGACCATCGATGGGTTGCATTGATCGTGTCTTAGAGTGCCAAATAATTCTTTGGATGTGTTACTGTTCTCCAAATTTCAGCTTCATCTGCGAATAGTAGTGTGGTTAGCACATGGCTAAGTGATACGTCTCTTATAAATTCAAGCAAAATATGAGGTCTGTNTTTGAAATGACGCTGGCCTTCATCAGCAAGGAATTGGCGAAAGACTTTTATTTCGTGCGATTCGGTAAGCACAGTTTGTGAATGAAGCACAGGTAATAATTCAAGGTAGCTCATGCATGTCCTTTTCCGTCGATTCTAGGTGAAAATTAATGATTTTTCTGTGCTTGAGTACCACAGTGGTGAAGGTAAAGGCAACATGCTTGGGTTTTATTCTTTTCACCAATATTGTTAAATCCGAATTCCAACCGCAACGCTATGCTTAGTATTTTTAGAGGCTCGTAACCCAACACAAGAAATCAGAACACGCAGCATCGTTTGCTGATCGGACTTGTACGATAGTTTAATGTAAACGNATGTAAACGGCTAAAATTCAATCACATAAAAAGAATCAACTGTTTCATGAAGGGGAACATTGGTGACTTTAATTGTGCGAAGAAAAGGAGCAGTCCACAAGGAACTTTTGTCCGTTGATTTTTTCTTCACAATCAACTTTGACTCTCACTGTGGCGATTCTTTCTGTTTTTATTTAACTGCTTGTGTTTTTTTTACTAAGCACGGTATTCCGCTCATATTGTAGCGAGAAGGCGAGTCGTTGAAGAGTCAGATTATTGATGCCTGCCACCAAGCGGTCACACATTCGTTCTTCCAGGCGATCACCATAGTTGCAGTGTGATGCCTGTTTGTTCAGCTGCAAGATGAATTCACGGTAGGGAACATGATCGGCACGAATCATGGAGTTGAATTTGGCCCTTTCATTTGCTTGGAATTCAGTGGGCAGCAGGTGGTTGAGCAGCAGCAATTTCAGGGACTCCCATGGTAGTTTGGCTGGAGCCTCAGGGAATGTCAGGTTTCTCAACAGGGAGTAGAGGTCACGGCCGCCAGCGGTAAGAAATAGGGCTGACTGATTCTGTGTACCACCTTTGCGAATGCTGCACCACAGCTCGAACAGTTCGACCCATTCCTCGATCTCGGATGAATTTGTTTGCAGGTTCAGTTGCTCAATCGTTGGGAGCTCCATCACGCGACGGCAATTGGTGATGATTATAGTAGTAGTAATAATACGCACGGAATTCGGAACACGAACCACGCAATATGAATTACAGGACCCGAATCGATAATCAGTTTTCACGGACTGGATTATGGAAGCACTGGACCATAATGGCACAGATTCGCAATGTCCCACGAGAACGAGACGCGAGGAAAAGGCCACAGGACAGGCAGTAAGTAGTTCGTTTATTGGAAGAAATAAAAGTGATTAAACAATATGTACAAAGGGAGATTATTGGCTACCTGGGGCTTCCACCAATTGGATTGCAGTGCTGCTTGCATAATCTTGCTTCTGTCTGAATTGTCTTGGATTGGCTGGCATCATCCGCCGCCAATGACGTGTATTCAGAAGCTATGCACGTGCTATTAACACGTCAGCATTCAAACTTGATTGATCGCCAATGTGCTGAAACTGTAACGCGCCGCTCCAGGGTAGGTGCCATCGTGTAGGCCTGGATCACCACAAAAACTTTTANACTTTTATTGTTCGATTTCAAAAACAACCGGTGTACGTGTTTAATTATATATATATATATTCAATTCTTAATCGCGCGGCAGAATGATTCTTGCCTCATTCGTCAATCCATTATATTTTTCATCCGCACTTGTCACGTACGCTGCCTCTTCTTCCGCGTGCCGCGGCGACTGGTTTGGCCCAATCGTAGCGCGGGATACGTTGATCGACAGCTCCGACGTTGTGGCATTCGGTGGATATCTTTCTGGCTGGCCGCGGATTATCTGTCGGGCTGTAATTGTCGATTCGTTCGTTTTGGTTGGTAGTCAACATTGTCTCGCGAAGTATTTCCAGCCGCTACGTTTGTGCGTCTATTTGGATGGGCCCTATTCTTGATTCGTTTGCTAGCCGGCGCTCTCTTTGTATCACCTTCCAGCACAATAACAATCAAACACAATTGATCCCGCTTCGTTTCTCAAACCGTTATTACGTAACGAAAAGCTGTTGACAGTAATTGAGGCGTTGCTAATCAGATTATATCATCCCGTTGTGTGCGCCCAAAAGTTGTTGACCCAATCAGTTCACTTGCCGTGTTGAGTTGATCTGTTGTTTTTACTTCTAATCGTCCATGTCTATCTGTACATGTCCGTTCACTGAGTTTTACAGATGTGCTTGTTCGTTTTACTTCAGCAATTGTGAAAACTAAACGAAATGTCAACATCTCGCGACATATGTCTTCCTTCGACCTTGATGTGTTTCATGCTTTACATGAATCCATCACAGATCAGATAACCTCGGGAACGCAGGAAGCACCATCAGTCGTACTATTGAAGGACGGTGCTATTGCAAAGCACAGTTTCTCAAAACTTCCCCAAAATTTCCTGTCTGGATCCCAAATCTCTAAGGTGCTGCTGTTTTGGGATTCTGATGCCTAGTGTATTGGGAACGTATCCCCGGATCTCCCAGCGCCTCGGAGAAGACAGAGGTGTGCGTGTGACACAATATTCCTCGGCTGCTGTTCTCGCAGGCGAAGACGCTATGCAGCTTAGCAGTCGACGGACAACGGGCGGTGAGCGGTGTTACGGGTTGCGAGGCGACCGGGATACGGGGTTGTGAGGAAACACTGTCAGACAGTTCTTTCGCTAGTTGGGATTGAATATACACCTGTAAGGCAATAGCAAATAGAGCGTCATGAACCCAAAAGGTCGAATAAGATACAGGCGCTAACGATAACGTATTACTCGCGCCGTTAACATGCGTTACAGTAGCACTCACGAACAGACCTAAAGTATATCGTATTCATAAATTTTTGTGTTCTGTTTAGACATTAAATTGACACGAGAGCCTCTGGTTTAACCCACAACAACAACGCGCAGAGAAAACACGACTTTAAAAAACAGTCACAGTGTAATCCATGATTAACGTTCGTCAGGTGAATATATAGAGCAAATCAGGTATACGAGAACAGAGCAGTGATGTACCAATCTAATTACGTCCTTGACATTTCGATTGATCGATCGGACAATCGCCGGCGGTCTCGTTATGCAGTCATCCAATCCGGAATCAGCTTCCCTAGAGAGTCGCGAGCGTGCTTGTCACGTGGCTCCAATACGTGCACGAACTTACAGGTTGTTTGAGCTCCAGTGCGATTGCTCCATCGTTTACCATCGTCTTGTCCCTATCACCCGTGATCTCAAACAAGTAAATTCTCTCACTCCAACACGAATCTGTCTGATTACAGGCGTGTAAGTTTTGTTATGCTCTTGTTGTCATGTC